TTCTAACTAATTTCAGTTTAACTATAACTAACAATAACTAACTTTTCAGCTTTTCTTTTCCTTTGTCTTTTTCTTCCTTTCGTTTCATTTCCATGTCGTCTATTTTGGATTCGATACTCCAACACTGATGCTCACTCATTTCTCCCCTTTGAATCGAGAATATAGAAATTTTTCGGATCTATTGAGAACTAGTAAACTGTTCAACAACATCTACTTATGAAATGCTGCAATTTACAACAGATTGAATAATACATTATGACTTGCAAGGACTGTCAAGACTTCAATATTCCTCTGTCACTCATTTGATTGATGACTCTAGACGCATCGTTTAATCTATTCGCTCTTTCATATATACTAGCCACAACAAGATGCAACTCTTTCTTATTGACATTAGGATCCAAGTCCAGGCTCTGAAATAACTTGTCAACCATCTCGAAGTCTCTCCTTGCACCGCAAAGGCTCAGCATCTGGAAGTGCACTTCGTCCGAGAAAACACACCCCTCTTCCCGAAGCTCCTTATATAGGGCATCTGCTTTTTCAAACTCCCTCAATTTCCCATAGGCATTGAGCACAAAAGATATGACTTTAGAATCAGGAAAATATCCAGCACTTCTCATCTTCTCAAAAGCTTCAATAACATTTGTGTACTTTCTGTTTCTAGAGAAAAGACCAATCATGCACTCAAAGACTGCTATATCTTTCACCTCTCCAGCATCGACAGCCTGTCTGAAAACCCAAGTGGCTTCTTCTACTCGACCAGCGCCAGAAAGAATAGTAATTGCAGTTTCTCTGGGAATATTATCTGGACGCTTCAGTTCGTGCAACAGACGTTTAGCATGAGCAACCAAACCAGCCCTCTCATATGCAACGATCATTGTTTGATAAAGAACCTGATCAATATCAATCCCAGAGATCCGCAGTTTCTGGAACAGCATCGCTGCTCGCTCCAACTTCCCTACCTTACCCCAAATTGATATTATTGTTGAATAAGTAATAGCATTGGGCTCAATACCCTTACTCTGCATCTCTTGAATAAGATTATTAGCCTTTTCATGCTCAAGTGTCTTCCCATAAATCTTAATCATGGTGTTATACGTAACAACGTTCTGCTCAATATCCTTTCTCTGCATCAACCTAAACAAATGAATTGCCTCCCCAAAGAGCTCAGCATCACCATATACCCTCAAAAGGGTATTATAACTAATAACATTTGGTTCTATTCCCATCTTCCTCATGCTCCAAAACAGCCTATCCGCATCCTTTGCCATGTCGAGCTGCCCATACACATCGATCATTATGTTACAAGTCGTGAGATCAAGCAAACACTTAACCTCCCTCATCTCTGAAAACACCAACAACGCCTCCAAAAACTTCTGATTCTCAACATACATGGTCAAAAGCGTAGAGTAGCTCACAGTGTCAGGTATAACCCCCACTGACCTCATTTCACTAATCAATGACCGTGCTTCTCGAAAAAGCTTAGCTTTCCCAAACACATTAATCATTGAATTATAGGCAACAAGATCAGGAGTTATACCAGATCTTTTCAGCCTCGAAAAAATTGAAATGGCCTTCGAGTAATCACACAATTTTCGCGACAACTCAATCAAATTGCTGTACAAAACCAGGTCCCCTGACACCCGATCCTGTTCCATTTTCTGAAGCCAAGACAAAGCTTCATCAAACATGCCCTCTTTCCCAAAATGCGTAATTAGAGTAGAATAAGTATACCTGTCAGGTGAAAGCGATCGTTGACGCATTTCGTCGAACAGTCCATAAGCAAGAGCCCACTGCTTCGCTCGCAGCACATTGCGCAACACAACGTTGTATGCAAACACCGAGGGAGTGTAAAGGGCTTCCTCATTAATCCAATCCAGCAACGCCAACGACCTTTGCCAATCAGGCTCACGTGATAAAAGACTGACCATGAACCGAATAGAAAGAACTCGATCTTTATACTGTGACATTACAGCATACAGTTGGTGCTCATTTTCAGTCTGCCCAATTGACGATAACAGCTCATCCATGTCAACGCTATGGTCCAAGTAAACCACCTTTTCCTTTCGGCGTGACGGTTGAGACGGAGCCGACTGTCTCCGACGCCAGACATCCTTGGTTGAGGCATATGCAGATGGGATTGCGAAATTTATGAAACGGGTTCGATTTCCGCTTTGGTTTTTGAATGGTACTATGATGTTCAATGGAGGAGCGGCATTGGAGTAGTGTACGTGCATGTGAGTTCTTGGGAATGAGCATGTATTCATTGACAGTGCAGAGTCCTTTGAACATTACTAACCTTTTAGCTAAAGATGTTGTAATAAGTGGAGATAAAATAAATTATATTTATGATCAGTAGTGGATTTGAGTAAGCATGGACGGCCATCAACCGTCTATCGTTGGCAGCAATAAAATATTAAAAATTTCATTTGATGTTCATTTTTTGCAAAAAATATGTTTTAGAACAGTGATTTGATAGAAAATGTGTTGTTAAAAATAAAGAAAAATTTTGAATTTACATGTAATATTATTTTATTGAAAAATGCGTTGTTGAAAAGAAGAGAGAAAAATGTATTTTTGACAAAAAAGAAAATCAGGCAAGGTTTAAAATTTAAATATAACAATTATTTTGTTCAAATTGAACATATATAATT